GCTCTTGTGCGTCAAAGTGTGTATGTTTGTATGTGCAAATAGAAAAAAAAAGAAAATTACCGATGCGATACTTTGCAGCCTCTAGCATGGCCATGGAGCAGGCATCAGAAGACTGAGCGAATTCCGTTTATGACTATTTTATGCCAACTGCAAGTTCTTATTCACTTTATTTTCGGCGGAGCTTAACATGCAAATTATTATTTGCACTGTAAGTGCCGTGCCGTTGGGCAACATTGTGAGGAAATTTTATATATGCCGGCGCCCTTCAAATCGGTATCCGTGTGGTGCTTGTGGCGCCCTTTTTATGGACTACTCGAGTCGGCCTTTCATTCTGTACCTGTTGGTCCCTCTGTTGCATACTTCAATTTTTAATTTGGTTTACTTTAGTTCTTTCATTTTCATTCCCACTGTTAATTATGTTACTTATTCGTTTGCTGTTACCCCTTTTATTTCCTGTGAGGATAATGAAAAGCAGTTTTTCACTCCTGCATTAAAAATAGTTGGACATAAGTTAAGTCCTGCAATGAAAAGTGAAATGTAAAAGCTCTCATAGCATCATGTTGCTGTTTTGTTGGGGACTTAAATTTAAATTCAAAAAATTAATTAATGAATAAATGAGAAGGGGGAATTCTTTATGTTTTTAAAGCAAACAAAATTTAAGATCTAAATTTATTGTTTTCTATCGGCTTAAGTTGTTCGATTTACATTTATCTGATTTAATTTGTAATTTCCTGAATTTTCTGACACAGAATTCCGATAGATAAACCTGGTTAAGAAAAAGAATTTGATTTATAAAAAAGAAATTCAAAGGAAATTAAAGATGGAGAATATTATGGAAACTATTTTACATTGATATTTTACATTTTTATGCAATCTGAAACTCAATTGGTATTACAAAACTGTCTTCGTTTCAGTCCGTTTTCCATCAGAAAAAAAATATTTCTCCCGGAAATGGGAAAGTTTCTTTGGCAACTGCATCCACGTTTGCGGGGATCTATGGGAAAGTAATTAATTTTTAACTGATTGAAGCAGCTCCATGAACTGAGGGCTAAAGCCAGCACTTTAATTTATTGCTGGTTGGCTTATGCAAGTCGAAAATAGAAGTCAGCGAATCGCAAGAGCACTCACCATTTTCCAGGTCTAGACAAAGTTAATGTCACGCATTGCAGTCAATCTTCCTGAAGACACTTTTCCTTTATATCGAAGTCGTTTCAGCAAACAATAGGTGCACTCAATGCAGCAAGAGTGTGTGAGCTTACTGCAGTGAAGTGTAAATAGGAAAATGAGTTCGCACCTTATACTAAAATCTGTAAACATGAGCCGGAGCTCAGATCCATTTTCAAAGATTGTTGGCTGCAGTTCGTTAAAGGGCTTATCGCGTGGCTCCCAATTAATCCATCAGTTAGGGTTCAGGGAAAAACTTCTTGAGGTGTTAGTTATCTTAATGCCCCTGAATACCTACATATAGCAAGTGGCAAGATAACTATATTAGCCATCGCCGCTTCTTGTTGGCCTAATGGATATAGTATGTCACAGAATGTTCACAAGCTCAAAACGGACACGGAAGTGAATCCAAATGAACCTTTCCTATTGCATAAAAGCAGTTAAGCATTTAGCTTAAAAGAAAACTGGCAAAAGTATGGTAAGGGATCACCTTCAAATTCCAGCTGCACGGAGGAGTTCTGGTTCTGCGGGAATGCGAACATATTTAAAATGTACTTGTGGGGGAGCTGGCAGCAGTTTTATAAATTAATAAAAATAGTTTATGCTGCAGCCACTACAGCACTCATAATAAATTCAGTAAAACTTTTGTACACACTCAGCAGCAACAATTACAACGAGAAGGAACGTGTGAGTCGCTTCGAGAATATATATACTTTATGGGGTCGGAAACGTTTCCTTCTCTGCGTTACACACATCCACTTTTACCACAAATCTAATATACCCCTTAACTCTTTTTTGAGTTCGGGTATAAAAACAACAATGGCAAGAATGTTGCAGTTGAAGCCTAACAGGCAGCTCGGCAATTCTCATTAGCCGTGCTAATGTCATACGCAGAAAGAACTACTATAACTATAACCCAGACCCAGGCGAGCCCCATTCCATACCTACACACCTCCATAGGGTGCTGTGTCCACGATCGCTATGTTAGATATTTGGGCTGTTGGATACCCGGCAATTAGTTTGTTATTTTGTTGTTCCAAGTATCTGGCTATCCCTTATCTTTATCAGATAGATAGATACTCATTATTCTAAAATCATATGACATGATACGTCTTAATATTATGAGTGGCATAAGTCTTAGCCACTGATGCTCTTCATCAATCCACTTGTTAAATTTGTCAGAATATGATCATTATTGTTATCATAATTTGTTGGCATAATACCCCGCTGGATGTTTCATTCTTGCTGATATTTAGAGTATACCTTTTCTATTACCGGGTACACAAAATCCGATCCAAATCTAGTTTATGAAGCAAGTCCAGGCGAGAAATTGAGGAGTGTGCGTATGAATTGGGAGACAGCATCCTCATCCGGTGAGTACTTTTTATCTTTCTCCGCCATTTGGTACTACTTCTGGTCCGACCACAACAACACGTAAGTCTGGCAGCAGCTGACAAGTACAGAAATTTAGCTTGTTACGCTACCCGAAAACGCCATCGCATAGCAAAAAAATTTGCACAGCCTCTTGCTCGGGAATAGAGACAGAGGGCACTGGAAGGCGCAGAAAGCGACTGCACCCGAAGGCATTGAACTATTAATGCTAATGGCTAGAAGGAAACACATTTCCTTGATGTCGGGCAATCGCCTGATTGTTTTTCTTGCCGAACTTTGGGTGTTGCTTATAGTCCTGTCAGCTGTGGACGAACAGAGCGAACGGAACCAGATCGATGGCAGGCAATGAGTTTTTCCAATAAATTAGTGAAAATGCAAAAAGCTTTTGCAACAAGCAAGCAAATTCTACAAAAATGTTCCTCGCCCCAAGCAGCTGGGCTTGTCTGTGGAGATATGGCAAAAGTTTGTTGCGAAATTTTCTTCTTATGCAGTCGAAATTATAATTACAATTTAAAGTTTTAAGTGTATATTTTTCATATATTTTGCAATAGGAATATTGACAGCATTAAAGCTTATGTGCACTCAAGTCGATGAGTCTTGCTGACCAACCGCACTGTCACGTGTCAGAGACACGTTCTGCACCTTACACGCCAAAAGCTAAGAACCTTCGAAACTTATTCGACCAAAAGAACACAGTGTCATCCATAAAAGCACTAACAGAATGAGGGGAAGATGCAACCACTGCAAAATCCCTTACCAACGCATAACAAGATGTTGCACACTTTTTATACCTGGTGCGCAACGTATAAAACAGAGGATGAAGATTATATATACTAGTAATGGTATATATTCGAACAAGATATACATTTTATATTGTATATTCATAGCTTATTTGGTATCCATAACTTTGGAGAATTGTTTATCAGACTTAACATACTTGAAATAATTCCCCTCTCCGTCCTAGAAAAGTTTCCAACTTGAGCATAGTATCCAGCACTGCGAAATCGAAAAATTCCTGTCAAACTCCATATAAAAAATACTGTGGCAGGAATTTTTCGTTTACGTTTTCCTGGAGTGTGTATCCAGCAACACGGGCGGAATCCACAGATTTATATCGATAGTTGCCAATCGGGACCGTGTGTGGAATGCGAGAACAGCTGATGCACAACTCAGGAATATATACTTTACAATTCTTCCTGAAGTGAATGGTGCAAGATGTAGGCAAAAACTGGGCGCAAAACCAAAAATAGAGCTGCAAATTATTCTTTTTATACCCGTACTCAAAAAAGAGTTAAGGGGTATAACTCTTGTGGTAAAAGTGGATGTGTGTAACGCAGAGAAGGAAACGTTTCCGACCCCATAAAGTATATATATTCTTGATCAGCATCAATAGCCGAGTCTGTCTGTCCGTCTGTCTGTCTCGATGAGCGCCTAGATCTCAGAGACTATAAGAGCTAGGGCAACCAAATTTGGTTTCCAGACTCATGTAATATCACACTGCTACAAGTGTATTTTAAAATTTCGCCCCGCCCCCTTCCGTCCACACAAAGAACGAAAATCTGTGGCAGGCACATTTTTAAAGATACGATAAAACTAAAAACGCATTATCGTAGAGAATGCCCATATCTACCAGACTGCCGAACCTGAATCAGATCGGATCATAATTATAGCCAGAATGAAGAAATTAATTTTCAGTTGCTTCCCCTGCCCACTCCGGCAAACAACAACACAACTCATTTTCCCTCTCGGTCGCACACTCTGCCGCGTTCAGTGCGCGAACAACCCCTAGCGGAGGAGATGTAGAATATAAATGGTACATCTATAATGTACATGTTAGGTATAGAATATACATGTATATGTATGTATATGTATATATATGTAGATGTAGCAAAAAAATGTAAAATGTAAACTTTTTTTAATTCTAAAATTCGAAAAAATTAAATCAAAATGAAAAATATATATACTGACTGAGTACGGGTATAAGCAAAGACCAAAGACTCTTTGCAAAGACTATAACAGACACGCCCAGGGAGCACTCCTCGGCGGTGCTCTTCTGTGGATTGGGCCGCACATTCAGGGCCTTCACAATGACCATGTTCTCGTCGAGCCGGCGGGATATGTTGCTGATGTTCGCATGATACAGGAACTTGTTGATGTCCGAGGAGCACAGGCGGTCGCGTATCTCGATCTCCGAGACGAGCAGCACCTGCCGCGAGGAGTATATGGAGCTGAGGGGATAAGCCTCGTAGGAGAAGCGAATCTTCGACAGCACATCCAGGTTCCTGCGCGAGCCCTTCGGCTCCTTGGGCAGTCCTGCTCCCTTTTTCGTTGTCTTCTGCTCGCTTTGTGGCTGCGATACGCCGTATTTGTCAAACACAAAAATATTTATATAATGTATTTATTTATTATGTATTTATATATTATAACAATGTATTGGTAACAATGTTGTGGTATTATTGGTCCATTTGACCATTGTCCTGCGGCACATAATGCGCTTGTTGTACCGGGGCCACCTGCGGCACATAATGCGCTTGTTGTACCGGGGCCACCTGCGGCACATAATGCGCGTATTGTTCCTGTGCCGGGGCCTCCTGCGAAAATATTAAATATAATATATATATATAATATATATATGGTTATACTTACGTTGTATTGGGGGGCCACCGAAACCTGAGGCAGCACGTTATGCTGCCTCAGGCGCTCCAACCGGGCGGGCGGCGGGGCCCGGCCACCCCCCAGGCCCCCCCGCCCCCCGCGAAAAAAAAAAAAAAAAAAGAAGGGAAAAAAAAAAAAAAAAAAAAAATATATTTTTATATATATACACTTACGTTGAGAAAATGAACAAAAAAATTAAGAAAACTTTCTGTTGAGCGTACCCACGTGCTTTCAATGACGCAATGACGCCCGCCCGCCAAAAAAACCTAGAAGAACCCGGCCGCCGTCGACGCCGTTCAGTTGAGCTAAATGAGCGGCGCGGCTCAATTATTGAGCACAAAATAAATATATATATTTTATTTTTAAATTGACCTGCTACATATCATATATTGTTGGATTACATATCATTTTATTTTCATTTGTTTATATTTTCTAGAGCGAACAAACTTTAAGGTAAATTTAAAATTACCCGCAAAGTCAGCCATTTATAAATGGCTCATTTTGAGCACTTTGCGTCCATCCTTTTTCCACCGAGTTGGCATCATCTCATCTGCCTATCTGGTCACACTCATTTTTCTGCAAGCCGGCGCCGGTTTTCGTTTAGAGTTTTGTTAACAAACTAAACAACTTTTAAACATGAATTCATCTTCTTCAAGCGATGAAGACCATCCAACAACCTCCAGCCTACCTCCATGGGACGAAAGGCCATGGAACAAAGACCTGCCCGTAACATTCACAAGATGGGTTGAAGTGCATGGTATGCGTCCAGTTTTTCAAGTTGCAGTTCTTCCAGCGATGTAAGTAAATTAAAGTATATGTAAGTATATTTTATATTTTCACTTATTTATATTTTCTAGAGCGAACTAGAATTAGGATTCGCAAGATGCGAACAATGCAAGAAAAAAATGATGAAACGATCCTTACTAAGACATAAACATTATAGCTGTGCATTTGGACCAAAGGCAACAGATTTCGAATGCCCGCTCTGTCCATATAAGAGCGCTAAGAAACACAATCTGAAAAAGCATCTTCAGAGCGTCCATGACGTTCACGACTCGCCTGAGCGAGTAATGGACTCGGAATTGAGCTCAAGCTCCGACAGCTCCGACAGCGACGACGACGTTCTAAGTAAGTACGAACCGAACATTATTAGAACAATATTTTATTTTTCATTTTATTTTTAGATCAAAAAATAAAGAAACTCAAAACCCGCATCTTTGCCCCAGGAGCCCCCAAAATGCCATTGAAAGCCTATGTGCGGTTCATAAACGAAAGACGGAAGGAACTGAAACGCGACCCTACCTGGCTGCAACTTTCGAAAATTCACCGCGAAAAATTCATTATTGATGAATGGCATCTGCTTTCGAAAGAGTGCAAGGTTCCGTTCATAGAAGCGGCCGCCAAAGGCCAAGCTATGTAAGTCAAGTTAAGTTAAGTTGACAGTGCAATGCAATAATTATTCTTACTTTCCTTCCATAGATACAATAAGAAGTTGCGCCGATTTTTAAGGCAGAATCCAAACATTCTGGAAGAAGAGTTGGCGAAGCTAAAGAAGAAACAAACGAAAAGAAAGGTCTCCAGCTCCAGCAGTACTGGTAAGTACATTTTACAATGCAAGGTGTTTTTGTAAATTTATCCCCCTTTTTCAAGATGATGACGACCCACATGATGATGACGACCCACATGACCTTGTCCCGCTATCCAAGGTTATCCGATTAGATGATCCCCACCGGGAAGCTCTGCTGCTGTCAAAAATAAGGAGCCAGTCGCGTCTACAAGCAAAAGTCTGTCCACTGAGAGTGTTCCCCTGCCTCTCAATACGCGCCGCACGTCGGTCCGCGCCTCCTGCGAAAATATTAAATATAATATATATATATAATATATATATGGTTATACTTACGTTGTATTGGGGGGCCACCGAAACCTGAGGCAGCACGTTATGCTGCCTCAGGCGCTCCAACAAGGCGCGCCCGTCGGCTGCCATGCCGTCCGTTTCGCCACGGTGGGCGGCCATCATCATGGCAAAGGCTCGGTCGCAGATGGCTTGCCTACGCTCCTGCCTTTCTCTTAGGCTGTTTGTGCGGCCGCCACCTCCACGGCCACCGCCACCTCCACGGCCACCGCTACCTCCACGGCCACGGCCACCGCCAGCGCCGCCAAAATGAAAATGGATGGACATCTGGAATTGAAAATAAGATATATCTATATCTATATATATATACCCTTACGTTGAGAAAATGAAAAAAAAACAAATTAAGAAAACTTTCTGTTGAGCGTACCCACGTGCTTTCAATGACGCAATGACGCCCGCCCGCCAAAAAAACCTAGAAGACCCCGGCCGCCGTCGACGCCGTTCAGTTGAGCTAAATGAGCGGCGCGGCTCAATTATTGAGCACAAAATAAATATATATATTTTATTTTTAAATTGACCTGCTACATATCATATATTGTTGGATTACATATCATTTTATTTTCATTTGTTTATATTTTCTAGAGCGAACAAACTTTAAGGTAAATTTAAAATTACCCGCAAAGTCAGCCATTTATAAATGGCTCATTTTGAGCACTTTGCGTCCATCCTTTTTCCACCGAGTTGGCATCATCTCATCTGCCTGCAAGCCGGAGCCGGTTTTCGTTTAGAGTTTTGTTAACAAACTAAACAACTTTTAAACATGAATTCATCTTCTTCAAGCGATGAAGACCATCCAACAACCTCCAGCCTACCTCCATGGGACGAAAGGCCATGGAACAAAGACCTGCCCGTAACATTCACAAGATGGGTTGAAGTGCATGGTAATGCGTCCAGTTTTTCAAGTTGCAGTTCTTCCAGCGATGTAAGTAAATTAAAGTATATGTAAGTATATTTTATATTTTCACTTATTTATATTTTCTAGAGCGAACTAGAATTAGGATTCGCAAGATGCGAACAATGCAAGAAAAAAATGATGAAACGATCCTTACTAAGACATAAACATTATAGCTGTGCATTTGGACCAAAGGCAACAGATTTCGAATGCCCGCTCTGTCCATATAAGAGCGCTAAGAAACACAATCTGAAAAAGCATCTTCAGAGCGTCCATGACGTTCACGACTCGCCTGAGCGAGTAATGGACTCGGAATTGAGCTCAAGCTCCGACAGCTCCGACAGCGACGACGACGTTCTAAGTAAGTACGAACCGAACATTATTAGAACAATATTTTATTTTTCATTTTATTTTTAGATCAAAAAATAAAGAAACTCAAAACCCGCATCTTTGCCCCAGGAGCCCCCAAAATGCCATTGAAAGCCTATGTGCGGTTCATAAACGAAAGACGGAAGGAACTGAAACGCGACCCTACCTGGCTGCAACTTTCGAAAATTCACCGCGAAAAATTCATTATTGATGAATGGCATCTGCTTTCGAAAGAGTGCAAGGTTCCGTTCATAGAAGCGGCCGCCAAAGGCCAAGCTATGTAAGTCAAGTTAAGTTAAGTTGACAGTGCAATGCAATAATTATTCTTACTTTCCTTCCATAGATACAATAAGAAGTTGCGCCGATTTTTAAGGCAGAATCCAAACATTCTGGAAGAAGAGTTGGCGAAGCTAAAGAAGAAACAAACGAAAAGAAAGGTCTCCAGCTCCAGCAGTACTGGTAAGTACATTTTACAATGCAAGGTGTTTTTGTAAATTTATCCCCCTTTTTCAAGATGATGACGACCCACATGATGATGACGACCCACATGACCTTGTCCCGCTATCCAAGGTTATCCGATAAGATGATCCCCACCGGGAAGCTCTGCTGCTGTCAAAAATAAGGAGCCAGTCGCGTCTACAAGCAAAAGTCTGTCCACTGAGAGTGTTCCCCTGCCTCTCAATACGCGCCGCACGTCGGTCCGCGCCCAGGCTAATATCATGGACTACGAAAGCGGAGACGAAACGGATATTCGAGAACTATATTGAAATGAAATGTTTTCGCGTGTACGTGGAGGTACGCCTTCAGCTTGTCGACAAGCGTCCGTACGAGAAATACGAGAAATATTTCGGCAGATTAGATGATGCAGAGTAAATAAAATAGCATTACGTGTTCTGTTCTACTATACTATATAATATACTACTATATACTATATTATTCCTAATTGCATAAAAATGTAATAAAAATAGCTATGCTATGTAAAATGATTTGAATTATATTATGTAAATTTCAGGGCATAGCGACGATGCAAAAGTTTCATTTGACTGTTTCGACTTTAAAGTATAATATAATAGAATCGTTCATCCAATCGTAAAAGTCTATTCTTGCCACACTTGTGTCGGCCTGGAAGTTGGGAAACTGATCCCCGATATTCAGAGGGCTGCAGGACATTCTCACTGATTTGATCTGACAAATATTTCAGCGGAATAATGTAAAGCCACTCAGATCCAAAATCAGATCTAGCAAACAAATGTCATTTTTTTTTAGCGGCCAGTGCACTATAGGCATAAAGTCCCATATTTTGGCATTTTTACATTTTTTTTTTTTGTTCCGTATTATCAAATTGACCGTATTTTTTGAATTAGAATACTTTAAGAATACTAAAACATATTTTTAATATTTTTTGGACTTCGTTGGTATTTTGTTATTTGTCAAAATTGAAAGACTATTATATGTCCACTCAAAAAAACAAAATTGGCGCAAAAGCTTGTGATTTTTTGTGTGAATTTTCTTATGAAATTGTAAACAAAACAAAAAAGTTTAAACATGGAATTTAATCGTCAAAGTATGTAAAATAAACTATTAGCACTAACAGTGAGGTGGGCGGGAAGGAAGGCGTGGTCCAACTGAAAAAACAAATAAATCCGAAATTCTACCTTTATTTTTTAAGTATATGTACAAAGTTTCATGTTTCTATCTTCAAAATTGGTAATGATGCCAAAAAAACGGACTTTTTGTCCATAGTGCAGTGGTGTGACCAGACGTTTGCACTGGATTCCGTACGTTTACACTGCTCAGACAGCTGCTTAGTTTTGTTTAAAGTTAATAAAATTCACTTCCCCAGGCCACTAACCATACAGTATATAGATGTGCCAGTTCATACAACAAAAGGGGCGCAAGCTGAGCGCTTCGGCTGTGTGAGGCTGAGACACTCGGGTCGGGAGCTGGGCCGTTCGGCATGTACATGATGCAATTATATAAGGTGGTCTCGTCGGCAGCAGCAGGCCCTTAAAAATACCACTAACCATAACAGAAAAATTTTGTTGAAAAAACAAAACTCCAAATAATGAATAAAAAATATAATAGCCACTGAGAAAAATACAAAATAAAGGAGGGCCCCAGATTGATGGTTGCCCAGGGCCCGGTTAAGGGTTGATCCGGCCCTGAATAGGTCGCTACATCACATCAGCCCTCAAAACAAAACGAAAAACCAATTCAAGCGGCCAACAATTGTAGAGCCCACACACAAGCACAGTATGTGTGAATACATGGCACACACACGTTTACGTAAACTGAAATCTCGAACAAAGTCGGTTTCTGCAGCTAAAAATTATTCTATGCATACAATCATATATTTTGGAGTGTACATGTACACAACACATGCATGCTTGCTGTCAGTCGGCTCGTGTGACGTCATGAGCCCAACGCGGCCATTCCCAAAGCCGAAGATCTGGGAACGTACGCTGCAAACTCAGCTGCGCCCCTTTCGTTGTATGAACTGGCACATCTATGTACTGTATGGTTAGCGGCTAAAGACAATATAACAAAAAGATGCGTAACGCCATTTGGTTTTTTTTTTGCATTCGAATATTTCGGGCTTCCTGGCTCCAGGCTCTTCTTAAATTTGGTTGAAAGGCCAGAGAGGGAGAGAGATCGTTTTAGAGCCAGCCTACTATGGGAACTTTGACCACTTTTTGTGGCAATAATTAATAACTTCCAAACGAAACAATATTTTTTGGTTTAGTTTTTTGATATGAGTTTATAATAGAAAAATGAAGGTATTTTGAAAAAATGGGCGTGGCAACTCCTGTTTTTATAAAGAAATCTCATTTTTATTTTTTTGCTCGAAATCTAAAAAATAAAGTTTTTAGCAGAATGTTGGAGATATTGTATTTTATTCAAGGGGGCGTGGTACGCCTTAAAAATAATAAAAAATTAGTATTACAGGTAGCTTTTCCATACACATTTTAACCGAGAAACCTGTAATATTAAAGAATTAATATTTTATTGTAAATTTGTGATATGTTTACTACCACACCTTTCGTTAATATTCATGGAGTTCGTTTTCGAGATCTATCATTCATGAAAATTCGAACTGATCTTCAGCCAACTCATCGAAACTAATCCGATCCTCTTGAACTCTGCCTGAACTATTGAGCTCACTTGACAAAAGATCTAAGACGTCAGTTGGGAGGGACTTTTTATACCCGTACTCAAAAAAGAGTTAAGGGGTATATTAGATTTGTGGTAAAAGTGGATGTGTGTAACGCAGAGAAGGAAAATTTTCCGACCCCATAAAGTATATATATTCTTGATCAGCATCAATAGCCGAGTCGATATAGTCATGTCTGTCTGTCCGTCCGTCTGTCCGTCTCGATGAGCGCCTGGATCTCAGAAACTATAAGAGCTAGCGAAACCAAATTTGGTTTCCAGACTTATGTGATATCACACTGCTACAAGTGTATTTCAGAATTTCGCCCCGCCCCCTTCCGTCCACACAAAGGACGAAAATCTGTGGCAGGCACATTTTTAAAGATACGATAAAACTAAAAACGCATTATCGTAGAGAAGGCCCATATCTACCAGACTGCCGAACCTGAATCAGATCGGATCATAATTATAGCCAGAATGAAGAAATTAATTTTCTGTTGCTTCCCCTGCCCCCTCCAGGGAAAATAAAGCAACTCATTTTCCTTCTCGCTCGCACACTCTGCCGCGTTCAGTGCGCGAGCAACCCCTAGCGGAGGAGATATAGAATCTAAATGGTACATGTAGAATATACATGTTAGATGTAGAATATACATAGTATATGTAGATGTAGATAACAGATGTAGCAAAAAATGTAAAATGTTTTTTTTTTTAAATTCTAAATAACACTACTCGACAAAATCGAACTTTTTTTCCTCAAGGATCCAAACCGACTTTTTCTGATAGATATGGGGATTTAAAATTTTTTAAAGAATTATGTTTTTTTTTCTATGGCAGAACTTTTTTTTGAAGAATTTTT